ACATGTGTGGCATCTTCCTCCTATCAGGAACCCATCAGAAACTCTGAGAGAATGCAAAGTCTATTTGTAAAACTCCATGTGGTGGCACTGCTTAAAGAGATCCTTCTGTGTGTCATGTTAATACCACCCTAATTTGTTAGTTTCAAATTAAATGAAGTTGGCTTCTGACTCTGAAAAAAGAGTTCAAACAGGATATAAGAAAACAGAAGGACAACCCTTGCTCCTGGGTAGGAAGAATCAACATAGTGAAAATGGCCACACTACCAAAACTGCTATACAGATTCAATGCAATCCCAATTGAAATTCCAACAGTATATTTCACAGAACTAGAGAAAACAATCCAAAAATTCTTTTGGAACCAGAAGAGACCTAGAATAGCAAAAGCCATCCTAGGCAACAGAGACATGACAGGGGGTATCAAATTCCCCAACTTGAAACTATACTACAAAGCCACTGTGATAAAAACAGCATGGTACTGGCAAGGAAAAAGACCTGAGGATCAGTGGAATACATTGAAAGATACAGAAACAACTCCAGATGTACTCAGCTACCTCATTTTTGACAATGAGTCAACCATCCTCAGTGGAGGAAAGATGGCCTCTTCAATAAATTGTGTTGGAAAAATTGGATTTAAACCTGCCAGAGATTAAAACTAGACCCTTATCTTTCACCATGCACTAAAGTAAAATACAAGTGGAGTAAAGATCTAAATATAAAACAGAAACACTAACCTTGCTAGAAAATAAGTTAGGCAGAACTCTCAAAGAAATTGGCATAGGAAAAGACTTTATGAACAAATCCTCAGTAGCACAGTAACTAGCACAAAGAATCAACAACTGAGATCTCATTTTATTTAAAAGCTTCTGCACTGCAAGAGAAACCACCAACAGAACAAAGAGACAACTTACAATGTGGGAAAAAAAATTTTACCAGCTGTTCCTCAGACAAAGGTCTGCTATATATAATAAAGAACTCAAACCCCCCCAACATAAAGACCCAGTTCAAAAGTAGGCATCTGAAATGAACAGACACTTCTCAGACAAAGAAGTAAAAACAGCAAATAAATATATGAAAAATGTTCAACATCACTGGTCATTCGAGAGATGCAGATGAAAACAACACTGAGATTCCATCTCACCCCAGAAAGAATGGCTGCTATCAAGCAATCAACCAAGGGCTGGGGATTTAACTCAGTGGTTCTACTGACTGCTTCACAAATGCAAGGTCCCAAGTTCAATCCCCAGTACAAAAAAAAAAAAAAAAAAAGGAAGAAGAAGTCAACCAATAACAAATGCTGGTGGGGTTGTGGAGAAAAAGGAACCCTTCTTGCAGGCTGGTGCAACCACTGTGGAAATCAATATAGGGATACCTCAAACAACTAGGATCAGAAGTCCCATTTGACCCAGATAGTCCCCTGCTGGGTATCTTTCCAAAGGAATTAAAAGAATCATAACACAATGATATATGTGCAACCATGTTTATAGCATCACAGTTTGTAATAGCTAAAACTTGGAAACAGCCCAACTGCCCATCAACTGGAAACTGGATAAAGATGTGGTTTTTCTATAAAATGGAGTACTAAGCAGCCATAAAGAATGAGAAACTAGAGTCATTCATAGCTAAATGGATGCTCATTAAGGCCATATCGTTAAGTGAAATAAATAGGACACACATGTGTAAATACTGAATAGTTTCTCTGGTGTGAAAAACTAAAAGTGTAAATAAGGTTTAAATTGTATAATTGATAAGGTGAAATAGGAGTAAAAGGGCTAAAGGAATAAGGGAAGGGAGAAGAGTAGGGGAAAGGAAGGAGGGGAAAAGAAAAAATATGAGAAAAGGAAAAAATTGGAACAAAGTCTTTGTAAATAGGGAAGGGTGGAGGAGGGGAAGGGGGAGGGGTATGGGAAAAAATCAGAATGAAAATTCATCATTGTACAAGATTCCAATGATGAACGCAACTGCACTGTGTACCTAAAAAGTACCAGTAAACTCAGTGGAAAAAAATAATTGGCTTCTGTCACAGGCCCAGGCTTTCTCAACTAAATGCCTTGTGTGACCAGACAAAGACTTATGGAGTGGGATGAACCAAGTAAAACCAGGGGCTCATGCATGGATTTCTGCCTTCCTGAAGAAATACAGGAAAAGAATTCCTCCTTTCTTCCTCCCCTCTCTCTCTCTCTCCCTCTCTCTCTCTCTCTCTCTCTCTCTATCACACACACACACACACACACACACACACACAATCTACTAAGTGTTTAATAGGCACGAAATATTCTGTAAATGTTTTACAGAAGTCTTAGGTGATCTTCAGTTACTCCACAAAATGCGTACTAGTCTTATCCCTTTACACGGGTGAAGAAACTGAGGTAAACTTTTATACATAGCTACCTGAAGACCACATTACCGGTCGACAAGAGTGTGTGTGGTGTAGATGTAGACACTACCTCCACAGCCTGTGCTGGGAGCATCAGTGACTACGTGACCGATGTTTAAACGTCCAGGGATTCTTGCATATAAGATGAGGGGAGTTTCTAATTCCCCTTCTTTTGCATGTGCATATTTACGTTTCTCAATACCACTTACTGAAGAGATCACTCCGCTCCCCATTGTGCATTCTTGGCAACTTTGCCAAAAATCCATTGACTGTATGTGCCTGGGCTTGTTTCTGGGCTCTGTTCTATTCCATTGGTCTGCGTGTCTGTCCTTGTGCAGGCCAGCTTGGTTACATTTTGAGGTCAGAATGTGTGAAATATCCAGCTTTGAAATACACATATTTGATCCAGCCATTTCATTTCTGGAAAACAGCCTATAGACCAGTTGCACATATTTAAATGAAAGTTATTTGCTGCACTCATATTTGAAAACTATCCAAATAACCATCCATAGAAGCTGCTTATGTAAATGACGGTACTTCAGTCAATGAACACTACAAAACTCTAAAAGAAGAAAGAGGAAGTCTTCTTTGCACAAATATAGGATGTTTCCATGATACATTGTTAAATTAATAGAGCAAACTTCATCTCTATTTATGTTTTTTTATCATTCATAAAAAGAGATGAGACTTACATATCACGTATGTATTAATGAAACTCTGAAAAAAATACAGGAAACCAAAAAGTTACAAAAAGAAAGGGAAGAATACAAAAAAGAATGGAAATAAATTTTAGCTTGTATACTTTTAATTTTTTATTTTTTAAACTTTAAAAACATATCACCTTTGCATAAAATTGTTACAAATGTAAGTAGTTTTTCAAAGAAAATATATATTTATTGATGCTACAAGGTAATTTAAACAGAAACTGTTGAATATATTAATAGAAAAACTGACCAATTTTATTATATAGAAATAGAAAGCTTAGATATGGGAAAACTTTGTAAATTAAGACTAAATCACTAACCTAAGACCAGCCTTCCTCACTAAAAAATCAAAGAAATGAAAATTAAATGACACTAAGATATCCATCCAACTTACAGAGTATTTTAAACATTTTATTGAAAAATAATTTGACTTACAAAAAAAGTTTAAAAGTACAAAGAATTACTATTTTCCTTTCATCCAAACCTGCTAAATATTAACACCTTGCTGTATTTGCTTTATAATTTATTCTCTCAATAAAAGAACAGCAAAAATAGGCAGATCTGTTCTGGGATGAAGGAAATAGGGAGACATAGGTCAAAGGACACAAACTTGCAGTCCTATAGTAAACAGAGCCGTCGTACAGCCTGATGGGTGGTGAATAATCTACACTGTTTACTGACAATTTGCTTAAAGAGTAGATTTTAGGTGCTCTTACCACAACGTGCACACACACACACAGTGCTAACTATGGGAGATCACAGGCATGCTAATTTCCCCCTCCACTGTGCATATGAATGTCAACACTTCATGTTGTATACCTTAATACCACGAAAATATTTTGTTCTAAAACGTTTGAAAGGTGGCCAACATAATGCCCGTAAATCTCTAGATTCTTCCATGAGTAATTTCTAACCCTGAGGACGTCCTCTGAAATAAACACTAATTTCTCAATCAGCAAATTAGCATTCATCCACTGCTATCGTCTCGCCATTGGTATTTCGCCCACCAGTGTCCTTTTTCCAAGATGCACCCTGGTCCAGGAGAGTGGGCACAGTGTCATCTGTTCTAATGTGGAACAAATTTGCAGTCATTGTCTACTTTTTTTTTTTTTGTACCAGGGATGAAACTCAGTACCTTACAGTTGCAAAGCAGGTGGAGAGGAACCACTGAGCTAAATCCCCAGCCCTGTCATGGTTCCAAAGAATTTTTCAAATTGAGTTTCCCTTATATTTTTTCACGATTAAACTCAGGTGATATGTTTTTTTGTAGAAACTTCAAAGTAGTAATATTGTATGTATGCCTGTTTTGTACATGATGTCAGGAAACAACAGCATCAAATTACATCATTCCTGGGATGTTAATGTCAGACAAGTGCATAAGTGAGTAGGACATAAAGTCACATTGTCTTCTTTGTAATTAATAAATATTTTAGGAGACACTTCGAGATTAGTTAAAAATCTTAGTTCACATCAAAAAGACACTCTTGATTTTCTCGAGTATTTTATTAGCTACTTTATTCCATTTAACACTGGATCAGAAGTCCTCATTCTCTATAACCTAATAAATTCACTAAAGGAAGTCAGAGCAAAAGAAAAGGAAAAGTATAGGTGAATATTTCTATGCAAGAATATGTACCACAGGGCCAGGCATTTAGCTCAGTGGTGCCTCCATGTGCTTCACAAGCATAAGGTCCCGAGTTTGATCCCAGTACAAAAAAAAGAATATGTAACAAAGTGTTATTTAGTAAAGTAAAAATAATACATGTTCTAAAATGAATGTGAAAGTTATAGTACATACATTAGGATGTATTTTAAGAATGATTAAAATGATCATTTTGAAGATGCACACAGATACCATAACTCCAGGACCAACAAGCCGGGTGAACTTTCCACCTACCCACGGCGCCCTTCAGTTTGGACTCAAAATCGCTCCAAACCCAGGGACCCAAACCAAGACTCAGCCTCTGTCTGTCACCGGCTGCACGGTCCTGGTCCACAGATTCTTCACGGCCCTCTTCACTTCCGCGTTTCTCAGGGAGTAGATGACGGGGTTGAGGAGTGGGGTGATCACGGTGTAGAACACGGCTACCAGCTTGTCCACAGGCAGAGTGGCAGACGGCCTCAGATAGATGAAGACACAAGGTGCGAAGAACAAGGTTACCACGGTGACGTGGGATCCGCAGGTGGAGAGGGCTTTGCGCCGCCCCTCAGAGCTGCGGGTCCTCAGATGGACCAAAATGACCACGTAGGATGCCAACAGGACCACAAAGCTGACCACAGACAGGGTCCCCCCGTTGGCAACAATCAGGAGACCCACGAGGAAGGTGTCTGAGCAGGCCAGTTGGAGCAGGGGAAGCACGTCACAGAAGTAGTGGTCAATCACGTTGGGGCCACAGAAGGGCAGCGGGAAGATGAGAAGGACCTGGGCAAGGGAGTGCACGAGGCCTCCCGCCCAGGCCACGCCCACGAGGGCCGCGCACACCCGCCGGTTCATGATGGCCGCGTAGTGCAGAGGCCGGCAGATGGCCACGTAGCGGTCATAGGCCATCGCCGTCAGCACCAACATCTCAATGCCGCCGAAGAAGTGCAGGAAGAAAAGCTGTGCCATGCAGCCCCCCACCGAGATGGCTTTCCTCCGGGCCAGCAGGTCCGAGAGGAGTTTGGGGGCCGTGGTGGAGGAGTAGCAGATCTCCACCAGGGACAGGGAGCCGAGGAAGAAGTACATGGGAGAAGCGAGGCTGGTGCTGGCCGCGACGGTGAGCACGAGGAGGAGATTCCCCAGCACAACTGCGGCGTACAAGAGCAGAAACACCGCAAAGCAAACCCTCTGCACCTGCTGATTGGGAGAAAGTCCCAGGAGGATGAATTCGGTCACATTGTATGGGTCAGGCATGAGGTCACGGCCGCGTGGCGGCGGTTTCAGCGGAGTGATCTGAAATGATACCAAAGGAAAGGATCCATCAGGCACTGAGTGAACTACACAGGAGCCCTAGGAATTCTTGTGATCTCAACACTGAAGCTGAGCAGGAGTTAGTGATGTGGAGAAGGAAAGAGCATTCCTTGAAGGCAGAGAACAAGTACAAATGTGACTGGAATAAAGGAGGGAACAGCAGAAACTAAATCTGCACAGAGAGACTAACCCCAGTGCCCGGAGGACCACCGTGGACTTGGGCTTCAGCCTGGAGTAAGTAGGGAGGAGTCACTGTTCATCACCAGACAGTAAACTCGCTTGGAGATGTTGGACAGTGGTGACAGACCGGGGAGAACCAACTCATGAGAAAGTTAGAAGGCCCTCCCCGGACACTGCAGGCCGACGTTTACTGTCCTATGTCCTATGTCCCATAGGAGATGTCTGTCTCACGCCTTCAGTGCCACTGTCTTTGACCTGCGCCTTTCCTGTACCGTTGCTTCAGCTTGCTCCTTTTCTCTGCTTGGTTTGTAAAACGGGGTTCTTGGTCTCTCCACACCAGAGCTGTCAGAACAGATGGTCATGGGCACCTTTGCTGTGCTCACGAGAGCCACTGAGGTGACCGCAGAGCTGACCACGGATAGGCTCTGTGCTCCTACTTCTACCTCCTCTCCTATGGCCGGCCTTCTATTCTTAGTCACGCGGTGACACTCAAATCCAGGCGCAGCTCTCCTCATGACACCTTCCTTTCCTCCACCCCCCCGTCCCGAGTGGACACGGCCATCCCATGCCCCTCCCCAGTCCCCACACCTGTCCCACATCCTTCTCCACTGCCCGGCACACCATGGCATCAACAAGACTGCTCAGTGACTGCTTTGCAGACTGTGCTGGTCCACGCTGGCAAAGCGTTAGCCAGATTCTGTGTGTATCGACAGAGTCCGACATGCAGAGAGGTGAGACGCAGCACATTTCACTAGGGAGCTCCCTTCTTCAGTGGTCAGCAGGGCTCCGGGGATTAAAGGCCACCAGGAGCCATGAGGAACTCACTGACAGAACGTATGATGACAGAAACAGAGAGAGGGCAGAAGCCTGCTCTAAAGTCTTAGGCCCATGGCTATTGCACGGAGAAAGCGCTGCTCACAGACTGGGCCTCTGGGTTCACCTCCAGGGTTTTGCAGGTGGCCCTTGTGTGATGCCTAGAAAGCTTTTCACCGCTCTGAGAGTCAGGTCCAAGCAAGCAGACGCTACCTGACCCACAGGTAGCCGCCCAGCGCCCCTCCCGGCCCATCCAGGGTCAGCTGAGTTCCTTCCAGGTGCCGCTTTGGCTTCTCTCAGACATGGGGGTCCCTGCCTTCGGCCCCAGACCCTTCCCACGGGCAGCCCCTCCACAAGGACTCCCGGGGTCACAGCGCAGACCCAGCCGAACTGAACCTGGATCGCTCTGTGTCGCCCTCTGTCCCTCTGCCCTGGGAGCTGCTAGGCGCCCCTGAAGTCACCGCGGTGACACAGTGCTCCCTGGCTCCTGGCTCCCTGGGCCACTGGGTGGGTGCACAGGGCCCTCGCCTTCCCGGGCCCTAGCACCACATCTGGGACCCGGTGAGTGCGCAGTGAGTGCTGAAAGGATCCAGGCCCCCCGGGCGCGATGTCACAGCCCCGCCACCGCTCAGTCCCAGGCCCGGCCAGCGCGGCCTCCGCGCCC